GAGGGGCTTCCTAGGTCATTTGTTCCCAGTGCTGTTTTTTCAAAGAAGGAAATTTTTTGACTCATCACATGGACTTATAAAAAGCATTTTATTGTGGAAAATTTCAAAAAGACCCAAGAGCAGACAAAACATCCAGCGTCTACAATTATGAACTCACAGCCATTGTTGTTTCCTTCCTCCCCCACCCCCAGCACGTTTTCTACCTCCCTTTGCATTTTATTTTGAAGCAAATCCCAGACCTCATACACTTTATCCCATTAATATTTCATTCTGTCTCTTTAAGGAATCTTGAAAATACCTCTCCATGATACATTATCATGCCTAAAAAATTAATAATCATTCTCTGATGCCACCAAGTATCTAGTCAGTGGTCATATTCCCAGTTGTCTCATGAATTAAAAAAGTGAGGTTATTTTTTTAAAGTTTGATTGGATTAGGATCCAAATAAGGCCCATAGATGGCAATGGACAATATCTTTTTCAGTCTCTTTCACTCCATAGGTTCCCTCTCCAACTCTTCCCCCAGGTCCTATATTTGTTGTAGAATTCGGGTAGTTCACATTGCACTATTTCCCACAATCTTGATTTTGCTGACTGCAATCCTGTGGTGTTCAATGCCAGCCCCCTGGCCTCTGTATTTTCTATAAATGGTAGTAGCACCTAGAGGCATGGCCATAGTACTGGGTCAGATTCTGGAAAGGGTGCAGGAACTCTTCCTAGGTGGTGGTATGTTCTTTCATCAGGAAGTACACAATGCTCCATTGTCTCTTGTGATATGATATGTTATGTTGAAACTCAATAGCTGGATCCATTACTCCACAGATATATTCCAAATTTAAAATTCTGTCTTCACTTATTAGCCAGAATAGTTCTTTAAAAAGAAACTTTATTTCTATCAACAATTTGATCAAGGCAAAGCATACTGCATTCTTTCCCTTTATTTACCATCTTCTAAAAGTGATTTTTTTTTTTTTGATCATTGTGAACTGAGCTTCACTACATTTGTCTTTCAATCCATTGCAGCTTTTATCCTTCTTGATGCTCAAGTGATCTCATCCTGTGGCCATTTGTTCCTCTATTTTGTTGATGTGACCCCAGTAATCATTTCTATTACTCAGTGATGGGTAGAAATCTTTCTTAGAGTTGAAATATGATCTCAATAGGCAAAATAGGTCATGAAAAATAAGAGTATTATTTCTGAGGTTTTTTTTTCTTTTCTCTTCCTTTGGTTCAAATGTACTATCATGCAATTGCTGTCTCCCTGTTACTTTGAATGCTCCAGGGTCCTCCAACCTCTGGTTGTGCTACCTCTGAATTCTTTGCTTTGCAGGGAGTTTCAGAAATAGAAAGGAAGCGTCAGAGGCGTGCTAGTGATCCCTGAGGGAGCTACACTAAGTTTTACTGGCCCCAGGAAGGTAGAACTGGGCCCAGATTGACTTCCCTGAGGGCCCTTTTCCCTCCATCCTTTGTGTAAGCTTTGTAGGTCCAGGACAGTTCAAGTTCTCTGAGTTTAGACCTCTTCACTCTGATGTTGGCCAGCAGAAGAGCTGCGTGGCCCTGGCTCAGAGCAGCCTCCCACACCTGCCTCGGATGAAGCCCCCCTGCGGACTGCGTTTACCTTTCTCTCTATTGAGACTCTACCTTCTCATCTCTACCTTTACCTCTCTCTCTTTAACCTCAAAGGAGGCTTTGTGCTGTCTTACTCAGTCTCCTCCCTTAAGCCTCTAATTAGCCCCGTTTTGTAGTTATGAAAAGCACAGAACTTGGCTTTAAGTGCCAGTCCGGGATTTGAACCCGCACACACCAGCCCCACCAGTGCCTGACAATCGGTGCCTTCTAGTCCCTGAGCACAACCTTGTCCCTTGTCTACCTCCTCCTTGAACACTTAACTACTTATTTTTCTTTTTAAAAATAGGATTTTCTAATTTCAGAATGAAGACATGCACATAAATATTTAAGCAATATAAACAATTTTAAATTGTCTCCTCTCTTCTCAGGCCTCAAAATAATCAGCATCAAACTATTCAGTGTATTTCCTTCCAAATTACAAGTTTTTTCCCCTAAAAACAGGCTTTTTCTGTATGTACTTTTCTGCATGTTGTTTTATCATTTATTTATTGTGAACAGTTTCTTGTGTTTAGAAAATCTTACCTCTCTGCATTCACTTAACAGCTTCAGTTTTCCACTATTATCATAAATTCTTTAGTAAATGCCATCCCCATGAACTTTGGGGTTGTTTCCAACTTTTCCTTATGTCAAACAATACTGCAATTAACACCCTTGTGCATTTATTTTTACACACTTGTGTAACTATTTCCGTAGCACAAATTCCTGAAATGGAATTTTTGAGTCAAACTATGAACATTTAAATTTTACCAAATATTAAACTGACCTCCAGAAAGGCTGGATTTACATTTACATAGTAAGTGGCTTTTCTGTGTTTGTGAGGCTGCTGTTATGAAATTTATTTTTGTTTTTTTTTAGATTAAAAGTATTTTATCCTTGCATTGTTAAGGTTGAATATGCTTATAGGTCATTTTCTGTCCCTTTGTTCATATTTATTTGAGTTTTTTTCTTTTTTTTATCAACTCATGAATCTTGCATATTGTAGCAGTCACTTCATTGTGTTAGAAATATTTTCTTGGTTTAATATTTGTAGTTTGACTTTGACATAGACTTTAATTTTGAAGACTTCAAAATTAAAACTTCAGTCTTTTGGTTTGTTTCTGGTTTTCATGTTATTTTAAAATGACCTGCTCCATCCCAAGGGTATAAGAATGTTCACCCACTTTCCCTTTTCATTTTTACATTTGAATCTTTCACTATGATGAATGAAATAGAAATCTGGCCTCCCATATTCTCCTTTGATTGGCTAATTGCTCAAGAAACAATTATTGAATAATTTTCCCCTTGGTAGTACCATACCAACTGTCTCACATATATGGTAAGTTCTCATGTGCCTTTGGGGCTATTTCTTGACTCTGTTCTGATGGATTGTGCTAGTCTTGCGCCAGTCCCAATGCCTGTGCTTTTATTTCCACTTAACATTTGATAGAGCAAATTCTAGCCATTACTCATTTGTTTCTGAATGCTCTGTTTTTTCTCATTTTCATTTTGGATGACCTGTTGAATTATTTTGTAAAAGTTCCCAAATCCTTTCTGGAAAGTGGAGACTGCATTATATTTATGGATTTAGGGGATACTGACATCTTTTTTATTATGATGTTATCTTTTTAAAGAACTGGGGTACAGACCAGAGGTGTTGGGGTGGGGTGAGAGGATTCACCAGAGACCGAATGGGGAACAGAACAGGAATACTGAAATACACTGAAATGCACTGCTGAGTGGAACAGCGGGAGAGACAGGAGTGGTCTGCTGTACCATTTGGGTCACCTTCCTGCCTGGGGATCGAACTCATGCTGCAGTGGCTGTGATAGCTTCATAGTGCTGCGCTCCAACCCCTTGGGCCACCAGGGAGGGCCCTATATTATGATCTTATCTAAGAATAAGTTTTCACTGTTTAAGTAACTTCAAGGGAGCTTAGTTTTATTGGTTGCTCAAATATAGGTCCTATAATTTCTTGCTATTTAGTGTTTTTTATTGTTACTATTAATGAATAAAATATCTCCATCTATTTAATTTTCTAGTTAATTATTAAAAAATCATTGGAAATGAATCCTAACATTGTCAAGGACATGTATGGACCTTGAGGGCATGATGTTAAGTGAATTAGTCAGATGAAGAAAGACAAATACTGTATGATTTCACTTATATGTGGGATTTAAATCAAAGGAGAACCAAATTCATAGATACAGAGACTAGACTGGTGGTTGCTAGAGGGCAGGGGGTGGGGAGTAGGTGTGAAGTAGGTGAAGGGAGTCTAAAGGCACAAACTTTCAGTTATAAAATGATTAAGTTCTGGGGATGAAATGCACAACATGGCTAACACTACTGTATTGTATGCCTCAAAGTTGCTAAGAGAGTAGATCTTAAAAGTTCTCATTACAAGAAAGAAAATGTGTAACTGTGTGGTGATGGATGTTAAATTAACTAGACTTACAGTGGCCATCATTTCACAGTATAAATACCAAGTTGTACATATAAAATTAATACAATGTTAGATGTCCACTGAATCTCAATAAAACATAACATTTTTAAAAGCTAGTGCTTGTTCTTAACCCTTATCTCTATCCATGCTCTTTCTTTTAGAGTGTGGCCTTGCTTATATTTCTATGTTGATGACTCCAAATATCCACAGTCTTGCCATCTCAAATGATCATTATTTGAACTCTAACTTGGTATTTCCTAAATTTCAAAAAATGCATACCACTGTCATAATTTTTCCACATTCCAGATACCACTTGTACCTCGCAGCAGGGTTCCTTGCTGAGACAGGAGGCAGTCTCTTGCTCTGAGGCCCTGCTTTCTGAGCCAGCTGCACTACAGCTGACTCCATATTGCCCTCTGCATTATTTAAACAAACTCTGTGCTCCTCTACCCCATCTTCTGCTGCTCCAGACAATTCTATTGTGATCTGTCTAACCCCCACCCCCCTTCCAAATCTTACCTGTCCTTTAGGATCACTTGCAGAATAGAACATTACTTCTCGAACATTCCAGCCCTTCTCTTACTCCTGGAGCACTGTCTAGTGTCTGTTTCACTTCCCTGAGTAACTATATGCTGCTTGATGGCAGGCTTCAAGTCTGAATATTTCTTCTGCTTGGGCCCATCGCCAGCAGTGCGCATTATTCACTTGCTTTGAGTCAGGGTGTGGTGGCATTCCCACAGACTTACCTCCAGTAACTGCCTTTGCCTGTTACTAGCCACAGCCACTTAGCCCTCCCTGTACAAACTGTACCTCCCACCAACCAAGGGCCAGAGGGGAAAGGAATGGTATGAGATAGGCGGAGTCCACTGTGAAACAGAAGAAACCAGTTCTAGGATTGTTAGTCTTTTAATATATTATTCTGAAAAGAAAGGAATTAAAAAAAAGTTCCTGACATCTTTTGATTTTTTTAAATTTAAATAAATACCCTGACCACCCCCCACCCACTAAAATGTCCCTCCTTCCCCATCAGCCCACCCATCCCTGGTGCTAGACCCTCACCCAGAGCTAAATAAGGCCTGTCTCAGAGCAGGCCACTGCTCACTACCAAATTCAGGAGACTGGTAAGTACTGTAAATGGCCTAAGGCCCTCCATCCACCTGAGCCCCTCCCCTCCCCTGCTCCACTCCCCATTCCAGACCAATCCCTAGCTTTGAGGTGGGCATGGATGGTGGGGCCTTGGGTATTGGGGAGAGTGCAAACTAGTTTCCCTTTTAATTGCCCCCAGCCCCCCACTCCCCACTTAGAAGTAGACAGAAGGGCCCAGAATTGCCCTCCGGTGAAAATAAATAAAATAAATCCCCTCCCCATCCCCGCCTCTATAAAATCGCCAGTCTACAGCTCCCGCTCGTGCCACTCCGCGGTTAGACCCGCCCCTTCTCCCTAGCCCTCTCCTCCTCCCCCATGCTGACCACAGGCTTGCCTTCGCAGCCCTCCCGAGGACGAGGACGGACGGGTCAACCAGGTTCTGCGAGGAGAGCCTCACCTCCAATCACAAGCAAACCCTCCTCCCCCAGAGGTCTGGGGGTGCTGCTGATGCCCCAAGCCCGATGGGCCGGCAGACTCCTCATCTCTGGGGTTTGGGTGGAGGGCAGGTGTTCTCCCGAGCTCTCTCCTGCCTGGTCCTTTCAAGTGACCCTCTTTCAAAGCAAGTGTCCAGCCAGCACGGCCTGCCCACCCCTCCCGTCCCGTCCCGTCCCCCCAGGCGAAGCCCGGCCTCCCGCCCTCCTCAGATGGCAGTGTCCCAGAGGACGGTGTGCTGCCGGCGGCAGGGCGGGGTGCCGGACTTGCGGGGCTCCGGCCCTCGCCGCCAGCTGGGGAGGATGGGCATGCTCTCCTGCTTGCAGAGGCCCCGGTCGGGGCGGTGGCGGGCCTTGATCTCCTTGCACACGCAGCGCTTGCGCTCGATCACCTCCAGCAGCTTGCCATCGCGCTCGCGCTCGCGCTCTCGGGCCGGCTGGGGCGGCAGGGGCAGCGGTGGCGGCAGTGCAGGGTGGGTCTGTGCGCCCCTTCCTCCCTCCGCCAGCCCGACCGGACCGACGGGGGAGAAAGGAATAGGGAGGGGGTCAAGGACCTCAGAATGAAGGGGCCTTGGCAACCCACATTGTCAGCCTGGGTGGTGGGGAGGGGTATTGTCTTGCCTGAGTCTGGCCCTCTTTACCTGGCTAGGAGGATGGGGGTGGGGAAAGGAGTAGGAAGAGGGGGACAGTGCAGACATCTACCCTTGCATCCTTTGTCTGACTGTGCCAGACTGAACCTGGTGCCAGTCTACGCCTGTGTCACCCTGAAAAGGGACACTTAAAAAAATCCGTAGAAAAAAGAAAACCTGTAAAAATTCCCAGTAGGATGCATTTTTCCAATTGATCCCTCCCAGAAGGGATACCATTTTTCAAAAGCACAAGGGCTCATCATAGGCAGTTGGAGGCCCTGACTGAACTCCAGCAGGCCTTGCCTGGCTGCCCATCTTCAGCAGCAGCTTCTGTTCTTCCCTACATACTTGCTAATCTGGCAGGCTTGCTTTTATCCCATACCCAGTCTTCCCAACCTGCTCTTTCACAAACAAAAGAAAACCCAGCACCCCCATGGTCTTCTGTCTTCCTCCTTACCTGGCTCGGGGTGTCCCTAGGCTGGCTGCAGGGCCGGGGTGTATGGAGTGCGGCCTGCCGGACTCCAGAAGTGGAGGCTGAGCGCCCCAGGCGGTAGCCTCCAGTGAAGTCTGAGGTGGAAAGAGGAAGGGAAGAAGCTATCAGGTTCCCAGGTCCCAGGACAACCCCTTCCAGGCTACCCTCACCCCGTTTTTTTTCCCCCCACCCCATTTTATCCAAATAATGGGGATGGAAATGTGCGGTGAGGATGTCCAGCCTGGGGGCCTGCCACCACCCTGCCTGCCCCCTCTAGGGACAGGTATCCTTGGGCAGGGTGTCACCTCCATTGCGATGGCAGGCAGGGAAGGTCTGGCAGGGTACAGGCAGTGCCGTGCGGCTCCCTCCTCGGTCCCCTCCGTGGTGGATCCTGGCCAGCAGGCCCTCAGCTCCCTGGCTCCTCACTGGGATCCCTGATGCCATGGGGCCCCTGTCCTCACGCTCCACTTTGCCTGGACCCTCGGCACTGCCGTTCCAGGCCCGGGCACCATCGTCGACTTCTGTTGGGGTGACAAGTGCTCAGTGCCTGTAAATGGGTCTTGCTGTTCCTCCAGCTACATGCATGCTGCAGCACGGGTGGATGAGAAGTGGCTGCATTTTGCGGGTCATGGCAGGGAAAGGGAGGACCCCAACTACAGTCTCTCAACACATACACACAGGAGGGTCCCCAGCGTTCCATGCATTGGTCTAGCCCTGAGCTGAAACAGTTATCTGTTGCTTCCAAACGCTATCCCTGGTCAGAGGGCTCTCTCCTACCCCAGTTTTATCTTTAGAAGCCCTCTAACCCAGACGGGGCCAGAATGACACCCCCCCCCCACACACACAAAAGCAGAGACTAGGGATGCTATTCTCTAAGAGGGGGAGAATCCCAAATCCTGAGCTAGAAAGTTGGGGAGGGGGCGGGAGGGGGAAGGGCTGCATATGAACTAAGCTCATCTCTGAGAGTTGGCCTGGCAGAGCATTTCGTTGCCAGGCAACAGTAGAGGCCTCCCTCTCCTCTCCCTCCTGTCTGGATGGGTTGCCATGGTAACAGCTGGGAGGCAGCTGTGTTTAGCTCCTAGTGTGCGCACACTCACACTCACACACACAGCCCTGCAGCCCAGGGAAGGGGCAGGCAGGGAGTAGAGCAGGATGTGGCAGGAGGAAAGGTCTGCTCTCGGGGTCAGGTTCTACCCCCTCCCTATTCCAGTTCTTCCTGCCCTTCCAGCATACACATGGCAACCTAAGCCATTTGCTGCATGCGCCTGTATTTTAGACTCCCAGAAAATTTCCCAGTTCAGAACAATGGGCTGTGGCTTCCAAATAACCCCTCCAGCACCGCCCCCAAGTCACCATGGGCATCCCGTGTCCCTGCCTCCCACTCCCAACCCTTCACTCACTGTCCAGCTCCTTTGCCTTCCTCCCTCCGTACAGGACCTTCCTCTGCAGAGCCCAGCCTGCCCCAAATGCCGTGGCACCCATCTCCTCTTCTTCCTCTGGTGTCCCTGCACTGGTGATGACATGGGCGCAGGAGATGCTGGCAAAGGCACCCCCATCAGTCCCTTGCTCCTGAAGCTGGATCTTGACCATGGGGGATGGGGCCCCCATTCCACAGCCCTTGTTCAGCACCCCCCCAGCCTTGAGGCTCTCATAGGCAGGGGGTCTCTTGAGCCCAGCTGCTGCAGCTGGGTATGTCCAGAGGGGGGTAAGAGGACCTGTAGTTGGGTCCGGAAGGCTGTGGGGGGAGGCCAGGCAGCCTCGGTGGTGGAGGACTCCAGCTGCTGTGCCCACAACCCCGCTGTGGGGGCTGGATTTCCCAGGCGCAGGAGGCCTTGAGCTGGTGCACAGCATCCCGTGGAGAACTGAGATCTCCTTCTCCGTCTTTGGCTCCCCAGCACCCAGGGGTGGGCCAACTGGCAAGACGGAGTGAGTGGTCACCTTGACTGCTGAGTACACCATGGTGTAAGACACAGCCTTGTCCCTGGGGGGGCCGGGGAGCAAGGTGGCTGGGGCAGGAGGGGCTGCCGGCGCCCCTGCCGCCTTGGGGCAGATCATGCTGTGGGAGTTGGGGAGTTCCCGCTCCCCCCGGGGCTGGCCAGAGCCCTGGGGTGGCAACGGTGTTGAGTGGCTCCGGGCCCGGCCCGAGGGTCCCAGAAGCAGCAGGTTGGCAGCAGGAGGCGGAGGCGGTGGGGGAGGCGTCTCCCGCTCCCGGACAGGCACTTGGGGAGCTGGGGTGGAGGAGCTGGCTGGCTCCTTGGAGTGACAGAGGACTGGTAACCTTGAGACCCCATCGCCAGGGGTTCGGGAAGCAGACTTGGCTTGGGGGAAGGCCAGGAGCGGAGGACGGTGCTGAAGGAGGTTGGGGAAGGGTGGGGGAATGTCACAAGGAGTGGTCTTGGTGGGCGTCCCGTCCCTCCAGCTGGGGAGGGCTGAAGCCGGCCGGCGGTGGGCATGGGGCTGAAGGACATGAGGCTGGTGTATGGAGGCTGCTGCCGTCAGTGCTGGGACCCCGTTGGTCCGGCCTTCCCCAGTCTCCTCGGGCAGCGGGTATTTCATCTCCTCGTATATGGCCTCACTCTCTTCTGAGTCCGAGTCAGCGCCAGCTGGAGGGGTTGGGCCCCCACCCCCAAGAGGGGGCCCGGTTAGGCCCCCCCCACTTCGCCCTCCTGACCTGAAGACATCACCCACCATCTCGATGTACACAGGCTCTTCTTCCTGGGCACCCACCTCAGGGTCCCCAGCTACACAGGACCCCCTACTGAGACGCTGAAGGGGTAGGTTCCCCCCTCGAGGACAAGGGGCTGAGGGGCAAGACTCATCGAAGGAGACGGAGAGCTGAGTGTTAGGGCTTCGTCTGGGCTTCTGTGGAGGAACCTTTCGGCTGGATTCACGGCCCTCCGGGGTTGGTTTCTGTGAGCCTGGATTGAAAAGGGAAAAATTAACTGAGCTCTCAGTTGGGGAAAGAAACAGGGAGAACCCTTCTGATTTCTTGACCCAGCTGCAAAGACATCTCTGCCTCTGTATTTTCCCCACACCTAGTTCTAGCAGGTTCCTTTACCAATCAGCCTTCAGTCTCTCTACAGCAGTCCCCAGAATCTGTGGTTTCCCACCTTTATATGCCCTCAAGGCCACTTCTTTCTTAAGAATGGACTTTTCTGGGTAATCCCCTGTCCTTGAATGGTTCATCTCAGGTCCATCAGAGAGGAATTACCCCATTCCCTCTGAGAATGGAACCTTCCATTTCCTTGGTTCTTGCCTGAATGAACCCTCCAGGCAGCCCTCCCCTGGCCAGAAATGGATCCTCCCAGCTCCCTGAAGAGGGATAGGGTGTCTTACCTGCTTTCTTGCTGGGGGGTGTCTCTGCCCCTGACCCAGCCATGCTGAGCTTGGTGCTGGGGTGTCTCCGAGGTTTGGCTGGGGGTCTTCGGGTGCTGCTGTCCTCTGTGAGACCCCCACTGCCCACCCCAGGCCCACCCCCCACACTGTCCATGCTGCCCACTGAGTGGCAGGAGAGGGAGCGTGGGGCCATGGCACTGCGGCAGGGGTGGGGGGTGTGCTCCTGGGAGGCAGGCATCGTCATGAAGCCCATCCTGAGGGAGCGGCGCAGCGAGGCGATGTCCCTCACACGGACCCCAGGCCCTGGGCCAGCCCCGGGCCCTGCCGGGCCTGTGGGAGACACCTCCTTACTGGAGCTGGGGAGAGAAGGCCAAGATGGAGCAGAGGTTAGGACTCAAGTCTGGGTCTCCCCCTTGTCTACCCCCAAAAGAGTTTGCAACCAGGTGGCCTCCCAGTGAGGAGAAAGGAGGAGGAGGAGAACCTGAAGATCCAGGGCACAGAAGTCTAAGCTTCAGTCAGCGCCTCTAGACTTTAAAAACAGGTAAGACAATCAGGGATAGGAAGAGAGAAGGGCTGAGTGTGTGTGCAGGGGAGTATCCCTGCACCTGGAAGAGCACAGCCTGGGCATGCTGGGCTGTGCTAAGCACAGCACATGTGTAGACAGAGTCACACATAGGTAGTAACGTGAACCTGGGGAGCACAACCCCACCTGGCACACATGCCACCTGCCACCGAAGCTCCGCTCGCTGTCACGCTGGCCCACACCGGGCCTCTGGCCTCCCCTCATGTCCTGCGACTGCGGCCTTCGCTCCCACACCACACTGCACCTCCTCGCCCAGACACTGCCTGTACCGCCGCATCGCCCTTCCCTGGCTGATCCTTTTTCCTCTCTCCCTTCCCCTCTCCCTCTCTCTCTGCCTCAGAGCTGTCCTCTCTCTGTCACCCTCCCAGGCTCACCCCCATTCCCTTTCACTGTCCCTGAGCTTCTGTGTGAGTGAAGGGGGGGGCGGCTGGCAGGGAAGAGGGGAGAGCTGCTGTGGGGTGGGCTCTCATTAAGGCCCTGTCTACTAACCCTTCATTAGGGAGAGATCACTGCAGTGATAGCTCTGATTAATCTAATTAACAACAAGAATTAAACTCCACAGTAGCAAGGAGGGAGAAGAGAACAGGGAGGTGGCTCTGACTCAGGCTCCAAGAGGCTATGCAGTCAATGGGAGTGAAAAGAAGGCAGAGGCCAGATCCAGGTCTCTGGGAGGGCAGGGCGAGGGCAAGTAGGGAGGGGTCCCCAGCCACAGCGCTTCTGCAGCCCAGCAGGCATATGCCCCAGCACACACGCATAACCCTGCCACTCAGCCACTCACCAACCCCAACAGAAGAGACTTGAAGAGGGCCAAATGGATCCTCTCTGGTGCCCCTCAAATGACCCCACCCCTAGGCCATGAGAGCAGCAGAACCTCCCCTTCCAAGGTCAGGTGACAGGGGAAGCAGGAGCCACCCCCAAGTTGATGGAGAGACTCCAGGCCAGAGGTGAGTCTGGGAGGAGTGACTGGGGGCTCAGAGACCGAGAATTGCCAACAGGGTGCTCCTGAGCTAGAAGCCCCTGAAAGGGCCAGGGCAAGGGCTGGATTCGGGAGCAGGGCGGGGACAGGGTGTATGCTATTCCTGCAATTGTAATGAGATCAAAAAACCTCACTGATGACCAGGCTGCTGGACCCAGGAAGGGCACGAGGGATGTGGCCAAGCCAGGGGGGAGGCAGAGGTGGGACAGGTGATGGGGTAATCCAAGACCGCAGTCTTACCTCCTCTTGGCCTCCTCCTCCTTGTGCTGCCTCCACTCCAGCTTGGTTTTCCGGTAGAGGAGGTTCATGTCGTGGGGCAGGAGGTGGGGGCTGGGGGGCCCTACTCAGCGCCACCAGGCCCGGGGGGCGGCCCTCCCTGGGTCCCGGATCCACTTGGTAGGGAGGAATGGGAAGGGAAAAAAAGAAAGATGTGGGGTGGGTGGGAGCCAGGAATGAATGAATGAGAGAGGAGAGAGAGAGAGGAGCAGAGATGTGACTTGGGTCCTCAGAGAGAGGAAAACAGATGGAGGAACAGAAAACCCCACACCGCCTGCAGGACCCACAGACAGACAGCCATGGATATGTACACAGAGTCACACACCCTGACAAAGGTGTTCAGAGCCACAAATACACACTTGGGAGAGATCATATCAACACAGATTCTCATCCTGTAAATACATCCGGATCCAGCACACAGGCCCCACGAATCCAGTACTCACACAAACACACATCAGACACAAACCACCCAACCACAGACCCACAGCTACAGAGGACCAGACAGATAGGCATAGGTAAACACAACCTAGGAAGAGGCAGGCACACAGACATAAACACCCCCCGACACACCCACAGCACACACAGACCTCCAGACACACACAAATCAGCTACACAGAACTGGACATACCTACAGACAAGGAGTTATGTCGGGGCCTACTTGCGTAGTACATTGCACCCCACTGGGGAAGGGGGAGACAGTCAGACTCCCACCCTCTCTTGGGCCCTGAGACTGGGATGGGGGTTGGGGGTTTGTCATGAGGGCAGGGTGGAGATGCTGGATGAAGGGTGGGAGCCTTCTACCTTGGGGATCCAAAATACCACCCATCCATCTATCCCTGCGCCCTGCCGTCCCCCACTTCCAGTTAGCCTGGGTTGGGCCTGTGTCCACCCCTATTCCTGCTCCCTGGACGCTCAGCGATGGAGGGAGACATCCACTTGCCTCACTTATTGCCCAAATCACCTTCCTCCCCCAGGAACTGGGAGGCTCCCGGCTTCCCTTTTCCAGTCTCCGCCCCTCAGTCCCACCCGGGGGTCTCCAGTCTAGCCCCATAGCTACCTCAGGAGCTCGGCCTCTGTACCTGCCCTGGTTTCCCTTTCCCCAGATATACTCTCCTTTGCGCCTTCATCCTCACCTCTCCTCCTAGGCGCCCCTCCTCACTGCCGTCCTCTCCCTTCCCTGTTTCTTCCAAAACTGGCCTGCTTCATCCCCTCTCCATCCAAGGGCCCCAGGTTCCCGGCCGCCCCTCCCCTTCCCCTTGTCCAGCTACCCTGGGTTTCTTCGTCTCTCGCCCTGCCAATCCTCCCTGCTCCTTGTACCCCCCACCCCACCTCCCCGCGCCAAGCCTCCCCAATTTCTACATCACCGTACCTGGCCTGCCGGGCGCCGGCCCCCCCATGCCGGGCTCCGCCCGGAGCAGGAGGAGGGAGGAGGAGAGACAGAGAGAGACCGGGGGGAGCGGAGCTGGGCCCTGCCGCAGAGACAGCCCCGCCTCCGGGTCCGCCCCCAGACCCGCCCCCGGCCCCAAACCCACCCTTCCACACCCTCCAAGGACGGAGCGGGAGGTGCCGCTCCGCGCCGCTAGGCTAGGGTGGGGCGTCCGGGGCCGCGGAGCCCGCGGGAGACTCGGGGAAAGGTCGTGGATCTGGGGGATCCGGCGCCAGCCCGCCCCGATTTGGGGCGTCCGCTCCTCCCCGCCCCTCGCCCCCCGCCCCTGCGGGCGGTGCTGGGTTTTGGTGTCCAAGACCCGGCTGAGTGAAGCCGGAGCGGCACACAGCGGCGCCCCCCAGCGGCGGCCCGGTGCCTATGCCCACGCGCATACCCGGTGCGCCCCGCGCTCTCCGGGTGCACACCCCGCGTCTGGCCTCGACGAGGCTGGCTGCGGCAGCAGAGCCCCTAGTGCAGTGAGACGGCGGGGCCGGCAGGGGGGGCCACTCTCCGGGCCCAGAGGTTCGGGGAGTCGAGGGGCCGGACCTTCCGCGCCTCAGCCCAGCAGGGGGCGTGCTCGGTTGGCCCGGCCCCGCCTTCCTGCCACCTCGCAGGTGCGGGGAGGGCTCCGGAGCTGATTCGCTGGGTGCGAGTCGCCTCTCCCTGCAGTCTCCTAGGCACCGGACCTTGTTTCACTGGCTGGGCTCAAAGTCTTCCGCCCGTGCATTCTCGTGGTCCAAATCATCCTCCCGGTAACCTTTGACTCTGCCGGCGACGCCCGCCGAGACCTGGGCGCAGTCAGAAGACCACTGATAGTCCCACCGTGGCTACGCGGTCGCTGCAGCCGCCTAGGGACGCCACGGCGGCCCCGCCACCCACGTGGCCTTTCTCATCAGCTCCCTGAGAAATCCTTTCTTGAAAGTGCTTTAGGCTCACATCAACAGCAAGACCTCGGTTCTAACCTTAGTTGGCACTGAGACTTTGTTGCTCCCCTCTCGCTACCCTAACCTCCCTAGCAAAAGATATCCAGGACCTCGTCCCTGGAACCCGTGACTACTACTTTCCAAGGCAGTCTTTGCAAATATGCTGTGTGACTTTGGGCGTACTGCACAACCTCTCTGAGAGATGCCATATCAGTTACCTACCTCTAAACTGTTACAGGAACAGGGACGTAGTAAAATAATACAAAGTGCTTTGTAAATTGTAAAGGAACCAATGCATTTAAGTGTTATTATAAATGCCCCCAGGAGAGGTAACGTATTAAAAGCACATGACCGTCCTTTCACGTTTGCACTTTAATTTGAACGAATGTGTACTCATTCAACTTTTCCGCAGAGACCAGCTGTGTCCCCTGGACTCTAGACACGGAGGAGTTCTAGTTGATCCGTCCGGTGGAGGGAAGGGGAGCGTCCAGAGATAAATTTTGAATAGTTAGTAGCGAGTAGGCACTGAAGGAAGGAGGGTTTGGGGGCGGAGCTGCAGGACCTTTTTCCAAAAGCTGCCTGGCTGAAAGGGTTAGGAAGACTGCATGGGGGTGGGGGTTAGGAGAGACACAGCAGGAGGCTGCGTCCTGGACCCCAGGTCTTGGCGGCCAGGGGACCTGGTTGTGGTAGCTATTGTTACCCTGGCTGAAGGGAGAAAGGCACTGCAGATGCATTTTAACAAAGAGATAAAGAATAAAAGTATAAACACGAGCAAGGGGTTTTGCATAATTTTGCTTTTAGTTAATCCTAAAAAGTGGTTAAATTTTTCCATGAGCTAAAACTGAGGAAGGAGCTGTATGGGAATAGGCCCATTTGATCAAATTAATTAGAATCCATTTCTTCTGAACCTGGGATTGAAGGCAGATGTGATCACTGGACACTGCTTTTGCTAAAATTCCTCGAAGAATGTTGGTCGGGGTGCCCTACAAAAAGGAGAAAATAGCAATTGGAAGTTTATTCTTTCTGCCAAGAACAGTGGCCCTATATGGATGGATTCTCTGGGGTGAGCAAGGGTAAGAATGGGAGAGGAGCAGAGGGAGACGTCAGGAAGAGGTCCAGGCTTGTGGCCAGCAGGGTTTGCCCTGCACCTCTGTGTGGGCAACTGTGTGTGCATTCGCTGAGATACATGGTTGGAGAGAACGAGCAACTCAGCAGCTTTGTGAGGTATCTTCTTTGTTTCTCCGTATGGGGGCCAGGCAAGAGCACACCCTCTGTTGTGGAATGTTCCAGCTTTTCCACGGACACCTTTCTGAAGCTCCTGGGTTCAATTTCCACATCTGACCAGGGTTATAATACGAAGTCTGGGTTTTGATTCAATACCCCAGTCTAAGACAACAACAAAAACCATTGGGGAGATAGACGAAACAAGGTCATTGTTGCAACGATGTGATAGGTACCTGGGAGTTCATGCTACTATTTTCTCTACTTAGGCGCATGTTTTAAAATTATACTAATCTGCTTTTTAAAATAAAGACTGGGAGAATAGCAGTACCTCTCTCATACAGTTAGGGTGAAAATCAGCGAAGCTATGTCAATAATGGTCAGGGCAGTACCATAACATTTGCTTGGCGCTTATGGGGCGGAGGGGGCCCAGTCCAGCTCCTAGTAACTTCCTTCCCATTCCTCAGCACGACTGCAGGCCAATGGCAGCGAAAGCCTGCTAGTGAGGGAATCTCAGACCTCTCTGCAAACTCCTCCCCTGTCTCTCCCCCTCTACAGCCCCTCCTTCCGCAGCATTGCTAGGCTTGGGCTCAGCAGGTGTGGGGTTAAAGGAGTCCGTTTGGGGCCCCCGGAGCAGCAGCAGCGGCAGCGGCAACTGCACCAGCAGCAGCAGTGGCAGCCTTGGCCCAGGGCCAGCTGGCGGTGAGCCCCAGGAGGGAGAGGGGGCGGAGGAAGAGGGGAAGGAGGAGGAGGAGAGAAGTAGTCAGCAGGCCCGAGGAGGCAGGACTTCCTGGTGTGGGGGTTGTCAACAGCCCAGAAAGAGAAAGACAGAGACCGGGAGTGCTGAGGAGTGGAGCGAGGGACCCAGCAGTGCCACGCGGGAGGAGTCTTGGGAGACCTACCCGCCCAGACCCCTGAGGCGGCTGCCACCTGGACGATCGGGGGGGCTGAACCGCCCCCTCCCAAATTGGTTTCGAGATTCCTGGGGCTTCAGAGGCTGTGCCGAGGCACCACCAAGGAGAGGGGGTCCTTCTTTTCTGGAGAGCAAACTTTCCATGGAGACGCCTTGTGGGGTGAGGTGCGGCCCCTGAAGAGGACTGGACACCCTTTGATTGCGGCTTGTGCTGCTGGGGCCAGGAGGCCCCGAGGAAAGGACAGTCCGACATCTTAGGCAGCCCGGACCCTCAGCCCAGCTTGGTGGCCAAGGCCAAGAGGTAGGGCTTGGGGCTGGGCGGGGCACTGGGTTGGAGGTGGGGGGAGCAGGGCCTGCCCTGGGATGGGGGAGCTGGGGCTTGGGGCCTCAAGGCCTAGCAGAAGCCTCCAGGCGGTTGGGCCGGGCTGAGGAGCCACTTCACCCCTGCTCAGGAGCCCTTGCTGTGGGACAACACGGGTCCTGTGAGTTTGAATCCCAAGCGACAGATATCCAACTTTGGGTCTGGGCTGCCTCTTCCTGCTCTGTGCGCCTGCCGGGATCTGTCCTCTCCACTCGGGTCTCTGTTGTCTCTGCCTGTCTCTTTGTCTCTGGGTCTCTGGCGGTTTCCCCTTCCTCCCCCATTCAGCTCCCCAGAGAGGAAGCCCCGGAGGTGGCCTGCCCACTGCTTTCTCTCTCTCTCTCTCTCTCTCTCTCACTCTCTCTCTCTCTCTTTCTCTCTTTCTAGTTTGCAAACTCAGCTCTGGAGTTCAGCAGCGACAACAGCAGGAAAAACCTGCCCCTGCCCTCCCCTCCCGCCACCTCCCTTACCCTGTTCTCCCTTCATCAACCAGGCACCCCCAATTCCCACAAGGCCCTCCCACCATGTCGGACCCAGACGTCCCCAGGGGCCCAGATGCCCCTGCCATGTGGCCCCCCTGTTCCAGGGGCGCCTGAGCTCCTTTAAGGAGTCCCAGCCGCCCCCCACCGACCTCAGCCCAGTCCTGAGCCCCAGGGACCATGAGCGGGGGCAAGAAGAAAAGTAGTTTCCAGATCACCAGCGTCACCACGGACTACGAGGGCCCAGGGAGCCCAGGGGGTTCAGATCCCCCCGCCTCACCGGCCCCAACTGGGCACCCAGCCCGCCTACCCAACGGGGAGCCCAACCCTGAGGCTGGGGGCAAGAGCACCCCCCGGAATGGCTCCCCGCCGCCTGGGGCCCCTGCCTCCCGTTTCCGGGTGGTGAAGCTGCCCCAGGGCCTGGGAGAGCCTTATCGCCGAGGCCGCTGGACGTGTGTGGATGTTTACGAGAGAGACCTGGAGGGCTCCAGCTCTGGCCGGCTCCTTGAGGGAATTCGAGGGGCTTCAGGGGGCGCTGGGGGCAGATCTTTGGATTCTAGGTTGGAGCTGGCCAGCTTGGGCCTGGGTGCTCCTACCCCACAGACAGGCCTGTCTCAGGGCCCCACCTCCTGGCTCCGCCCGCCACCCACCTCCCCTGGACTTCAGGCCCGCTCCTTAACTGGGGGGTTGGGCCAGCTGGGGGTATCCACCAAGACTAAGGTGGAGACACCCCCTCTGTCAGCCTCCCCACCCCAGCAGCGCCCCCCAGAGCCAGGAACCGGGGACAGCACTGGCCCATCTAGGGCCGCCACACCCCAGCCCTCCCTGAGGGGAGAAGTGGAGTCTGGGGGCTCAGCGACAAGGACCCCTCCACTGTCCCGAACCAAGGATGGAGCCCTGCGACTGAGGATGGAGTTGGTTGCTCCAGAGGAGGTGGGGCAGGTAAGACCTGGGTTCTGGGCTGGCAGAGATGCCTCTGGGTGGTCTTGGGCCTCTCCGCCTTCACTGTCATACTGCTCTGTCACCTCTCTATGAGGTCAGAGAGAGCCCCTCTTTTCTCTTTCTGCCATCTCGCTTGGAAGTCCATTCCTACTCCTCACAAACTGTTTTCCCACTCAGGCTACCTGTCTCCCATATTCTGCACCTCCTACCTTTCCTTTGGTCTTTAATTTGTTGCCTTTGGCCTAAGTCTAACTCCCTATTAGCCTAGTCCCATTTCTCTGTTGTAGAGATGGGGCCTCCTCACTTTACTTTCTGTCTTGGTCTCACCCCTTCTGGCTTCAGGGGATGAGGGTGGAGGCCCCAGGCAGGGCTGGGTGTTTAGTCTTCTAGGGGAGGAGCTGCTAGGTTTGGAGGGTGGGGTAAGAGGTAGGCATTCTGCTCCTTCTCTTAAAGCCCCATTACAAAGGTGAAGGGGTTTTCTTTTCCCCTCTAGCCATCCAGTCCAGTCACATCTCCCAACTTTCTGGAAGGACCTGAGGCTTGCAGAGTGGGTGGGTGGGTTGGGGAGAACCATTACAAGGATGGGGGGAGGGGGCTTGCTGGTTTGTCTGCTCCATTCCCAGTTGTCTGTGTCTGTTCCCTTTGTCTGGGCCTCTCTAGTACTGATAACTGGGGGTGGCCACCATAGAGTGGGAGAGATGAGGAGCAGCCTAGAAGGAGTTAAGTCCTTTGCTCTTCTGCTTCCTGTCTCCAAAAGAGGAACAAGTCTGGGCTGGGGGGTGGAGGTGGGGGCAGGATGCCTGGGTCCCTGGAGTGGGAGGTGGGCAGCAGTCAGGGATGTGGGGGTTGGATGCCTCTGTACCGAAGGAGAAAATAACACTTGGATAGCAGCAGGAAGGGAAGGAGTGTGAGGATGGGAACTTTCCCCCTTCCTGGCCTTGGGCACAAACCACAGTATAAAAATAACCTGAGACTGGATGTCTGCTCCCTGTCAGGACCGGTCAGGACCAGCACCCCCACCCCCTGGCCTCCAGCTCACATCACTCATACTCCCCCACCCTTTAGTTTTCTTAACTCTTTTGTTCTATTCCCACCTCAGGGGAGAAGATGCTATGTCTTTTACAGGTCCCTGTCTCCACATTCTTCCAGTTTAAGCCCCCTTTGCCCCCTCTTTCTGACTTAGCTGGAGCTTCCCTTGGTGCAGCATCCTCCTTAAGTGTCCCCTGCCCCCTGGGCTTCCTCCACTTAGGGACCCTTCCCTGTGCACGAATCTCTGCCCTGACTGAAAGAGGTCTCCCTTCTAGCACTCCCCCATGTCTCTTCCTCGGTGGCTGCTGGTGGCCAGGAGGGCACCACCTGGGCCCCCTCTCCCTGCTTTGTCCCTCTAACCACCCTGGACTTTCTGTTCTTGGCTTTTCCGAGAAGCTGGGGCCTCCTGGGGCCTCACAGAGGCGTCTTGTTCCTGTGGCCCCCGCCCTTTTGCAGCCGCCCCCAACGCCTGTTGGGCTGTGTGGGTCCACGCCCAGGCTCCGCCTCCTCCATCTCCACCCCCTCCCCCACCCGGCTGGGAGCTGGAGCAGAACTTCACCTGAGTCCCAAGAAGTCAGAGAGGAGAGGCTAGAATGGGGACCAGAGAGGGGAGGGGGGCGTGGGGAGGACCAGTCTGAGGATTCATTCATTCTACAAATAGTACTGAGCAAATTATAAGTTCTGCTCTCTGGCAGTTACCTTCTAGTAGCAGAGGTAAAAAGACTTTCATTTCAGATAATGTTAGATGCCATTTAAAATAAAATAGAACATCGCAGTGGAATCTATAGTTGGATGATGGGGAAATGCCTCTCTGAGAATGTGCCATTTGTGTCGCCTTAAGTCAGGTGGTAGAAAGCAAACGCTTTGATTCCTCTCTGACTGGGGGGTCCTGGCTCAGCTGACAGAAGGGTACTGGAGTGCAGACCAGAGCCCCTCTCTGGAGCTACTTTCTGGAAGCCACTCACCTAGTCCTTACAGTAGGCAGCCCAGTGGCTTCCCTGGAGCTGTAGGAGAGCAGGGTGTGGGGGCAGGACTCCAGAGTCCTGAGAGAGTTTGGTGTGTGGAGAGGGAGCTTACGTGGCAAGCTATAAGGCAGCTGGTTCATTTTTCTCACTTGATATGATGGTTACTACCTCTCTGCTTCCAGGTGCCCCCACTGGACTCACGCCCAAGCTCTCCTGCCCTCTATTTCTTCCCTGATGCCAGTCTGGTTCACAAGTCTCCAGACCCCTTTGGAGCAGCAGCTCAGAGCTTCAGCCTGGCCCGCTCCATGCTGGCTATCAGTGGCCACCTGGACAGCGATGACGATAGGTAGGTGGGCTCAGCTCCCCACCCATCATCTGGGGTAGCCCCATGAAACTGTCCCAAGTTGGACTTGGAGAGGACCTCCGAAGCAGAAAAAACTGGCTTGGGCATAAGCATTGGGTAAAGTTGACTTGGGACCCACTCCTCTGTGGAGAGAGTTGGGTAGGACTCCTTGGCCCTGGATTGCCAAATCATAGACTTTTTTAGAGTTTGAAGGGAGCCATGGTTGTCAAATTCCAGAGCTCTTGTAGATTAGTGATCATCTGGCTAAGAACTTACTGGCAAATGTGCTGGAGAAGAGAATAGGGAGTTAGTCTCCTCCCATTCCCAGTTCCCTCTCCCTACTGAGGAATGGGACTTGTGCCTTTGAGAGTCCATATGGGCTGCATATTGATCCTAGAACCTCTCCTATCAAGAAAGCATGTCCTGAGGTTCTGTTCTCAGCACAAACACCACAGAGCCTGAACCTTCCCTGGGGTCAAGCCAAAGCTAGGGAAGGCACAGGACAGCAAGACTTGCTGGGTTTGCCCTTCAGGGGAGAAAGCCCCATTCAGTGGCTTGGTGGGCAGAACTTCCTGTTAGGAGGGTCGGGTTTCAACATAGGAATGCCTGCAAGCTGAAAAGGGAGGAACAAAATCTCAAGTAGGATAGCCAGGCTTCTCTCTTCTGGCTGTAGGCTGATGGGAACCCAGGAGAAGGATTAGGGAGCCATCACTTTTATTTTGGAGGGAGGAATGGGACTTCCTGTTTGAGGCCCTCAGAGGGAGGGACTTCCTGTTTGGCAGGAAATATGGGGCGGGACTTAGAGCCTTTAGGGGACTTATACAGAGGGGAGTCTCTCCTTCCTGCCTTCCCCTAGTTGGCACCGCCTGCAGAGTCTGAGACTGGGTACTACCAAAGAAAAGGGTCTTTTGTCTTGAAGAAAGTGGGGAGCCAGAGAGGGAAGAGCGGGGTGGCCAAGAGTTGGTGCGATGGAGATTGAGGGGCCTGGAAGAGGGACAAGTCAGGGCTGGGCAGGGCGGCTTCTGGGCTCCTAGCTCTCAGGAATGTGTGAGGTGTGAGGTCGGCCAGGGCTAGGAAAGTCACCTGCCCCCATTGCTGCTATTCTCAGCTCTTCCCACTCTCCCCCTCCCACTTGGGATGCTCCCTGGCAAGAGGGCTCCCTGCCCTTCCCCTACCTCTGTTGATTTCAGAGCCCAGCCTCCTGCTTTCTCTGTCTTAGAAGGCTCTGACCCCAGAAGCCTCTTCAGTTCTGTTCTTTTGGCTGTCCCCTCACACTCCTTTCCTCTGTCCCACCCCTCCACACACCCCAGTCTGACCGGTTGGGTTCCCAGCCTCCACTTTACCCTGTTCTCCAAGCCTCTGGGGCTCTGACCCAGCCCAGCCAGCCCCTCATGCCTCACCCTGCTGGGCCAGCGGGTTTGGGTTGGGCCACCCCCTTAGCCCCTGGAATGGGGTGTGTAGCCCCTCACCTCACCTCTCTGGTGTGCCCATAGTTGGCATTAAGACAGGGTGCAAGTGGCATGGGACCTCCCTTTGTGAGAGGAAAGAGTGAGCTGGAGTGTTAAGTGCCTGGATCCCAGCTAGAGAATTGTGATGCCTGACCAACTCCAGGACCTGGGGATGGGAGGACAGAGGATGCCTGGTTCATGTAGACAGCTCAAGTGCTCCTAAGTGTCCTGAACCCTCATGTCCCTGGTAGGACCTGGCAGTTAAAAGGTACTTGAATAGGTGGATCCCCTAGCATGGGGGAGCAAGGTATTACAAGGAATGAATCCTAAGGAGTCAGTAGAAAAAAAGGTATATTAATCTAGTGTCTTCTTTGGGTCAGGCACTACCTCTTAGCTTAAAGCAGTCCCATGATCCCCACTTCTGGGTGAAGACACACACTCAGAGAAGGAAGCTTTTAAAACCTTAACCGAAGGTCACCCAACAGGTATTACAGTCATCGTCTGGGTCTGACCCCAAAGCCACATGCTCTCCACTCTCCTCCTGGCATGTCTCACAGGAGCAGAGGGCGCCATCACTAGGATGTCCTTTCTCACCAGAGGCAGGGACAAGAAACCATCTTCCACCCCCAGCCCCTGCTTCCTGACCTGGCCTCACCCCAGACACTCCACAGATCCAAGAGGGAGTGTAGCTGGGTATCTGGATGTCACTTTGTTGGCTTCAGGCCCAGCCCCGGGGGCTTCTTAAAATATAGCAAGGGAGGAGCGCTGGCTTTTTCCCCAGGATCAGAACTTCCCGCCTCTCCCAGATGTCCTGTTTCTTCCTCAGATTCTCATTTTAAGGCAGGTCTCCAAACAAGAGGCCCAACCGCTAGGGCTGTCATGCCCCAGGACCCAAGGCCAACTCCCAAGTTGTGTATCTCCATGCACTGCACACCTCTAGGGGGCGCTTCATCATGTTTGTTGTCACTGTCAACATTTGAAGCTATGACAGTTTCCAGAAGAGGGCAATGAGAGTCTTAAAGAAGGGAACTTTTTGTTCTGATTCACACGAAGTCTCCTGGGCTTGTGAGGATTGCTACCGTCCAGCCAACCCCAAGCTTCCTGCCCTCACCCTGCCCAGGAGTCCCAGCACAGCGCTCTCAGATCTCAAGGGGTGGGGGTCCTGGGTCACCAGAGTCCTGGTCCCTTGAAGTGTTACTGTTAGAATGTGACAGTCTAAAGTGCTGTCCAAAATTCAAGCACTGGACAAATAGGAGATAGTCATCTGTCAGCCAACAAATGTTTATTGTATTACTTCTTTATTTTTGACAAGAACAAACAGCTTACTTGACACCTTCACCCTAGTGCCCGCCAAGCAAGTCCAGTGTTCCTTCCTGTGAATCTGGCTCTTTTTGGTGTCTGGGTGTCTGGTGTACTGTGGGGGGGTGGGCGGCATGTTCTTTGGTGACCCAGTCTCCACCCAGGTGTCTCAAATTGAAATTACTTGAAAACTGTTAAGTCTCCAGCTGGTTGACCTGCCCCTCACTCTTAAACTTGTCTTTCCCCTCCAACACCAAGAGTCTAGGTACCCTTCCCCCCACTCCACCCTGTCCTACGCTCTCAGGCCTGGTCACCTCCTTAGTTACTTCACCTGTCAGCACCTTCTGCATCCAGAGCTGGGATGGGAAATGGAAAATTCCCAGCTCCCTCGTGCTCCCTTCCTGGCTGCAGGGCCTCATTCAAGGGTCACCTTGAATTGAGAACTAATTCCCCCCACAGGGAAGCAAGTTGGAACTGACAACCAAGAGACAGGACTTGACAAGGGAGCACCAGGGTGCAGGATGCAGGATTTTGGGGCACGTACTTGGACAAAATTAGGGGCTTGAGGGCTGGATTGTTGATCTTGCTCAAGGGGTCGGGAGCCAGAAGTTGGACAGTGTTTGGTGGTGAACTGTGGAGTAAGGCAGGAACCTACGGTCTGAGTGATGGTGGAGAGGGAGCCTTGGAGGCTGGGGTGAGGTGCAAAGGCCTGTGCAGGCCCTGGGCCATGCCAGGGAGACACATCTGGAGGGAGAGCCAGGTTCTGGGACCCCAGCTTGGCCCTCGGGACTGCTGAGCCAGGCCTGAGTCGACCTCTAGTGGCCACTTAACAGACTACAGCCAGACCAGCTCTCCCCTCCCTGTCTTCTGCTCCCAAGGTCTCCAAGCAACCCTCCACCCCCCACTTCCTGATCGCTGTGTCCTGCCTCCAGTCTTACCTTCCCACCTCTCCTTAAACCCTTGCTCCCTCCCCAGATCTATAGCCTGTACCTGTCCAGGGCGCTGGGCTCGTTGTTGCTATGGTAACCTTCCCCATGCCTCCCTGCTGTCACCCAGGGAGGTCGGGGAATCCCTGGCAAAGCCCCAGTGGTCACCCACGATGTGCACTTTGTGTTCTGGTGGGTGCTCACAGTTCAAGGAAGACCATGAGCACACATCAGACCACCCTCCCCCGAAACTTCCACTTTATTCTCAGCTCACTGCTGAAAGGATCTGAGGCCTTGGGGGAGACCAGTGTTAGTCCAGCGGGGCAGGATGGGGTGGGAGGTGAGGCTAGTTTCTCCCTCACCCTTTATACCCTTCCCCATCCGGGCCTCTGGCCCTGCAGCCCCTCCCCCAACCCTGCCACCAGCTGACTTCCTTCTGCCTGGCCCCCTCCTCTCTACTCTGGGACAATTGCCAGGGTGAGAAGGGGACACTGGCACTGACTGCGTCTGGGAATTCCCGCCCACCGTGGAGCCCGCGGAGCTGGCGGGAGGGGGTCCCCGTGTCCCTGAGGAGCCAATCACAGCCAGCCGTTGCCCTGGGGGTGGTGGTTGTATATCTTTCAGGCCAGCACCCTGTAGGCACTGTCTCCTCTGCCTGCCTGGCACCAGCCAGATCCCATTCTGCCCGGGGGGCTCTGAGCCCCCCAGGCAATCCTTCCAATATAGCCCTTTCCCTTGGAGGGAACCTGAGGGCCCTTTCCCTCTGGGGATGGCCCAACCAGGGATCTCTGTCAAGTCTCTGGTGTCATCCTATGAGACGAGAGTGGTGGGGATGGCTCCGGGGCCTCCCCGGAAAAGGGGATGTGTCTCTTCTCCTTGCTCCCCTCGGGGAGCATCTCCTATCCGAGGGGCACCTGTACCCCCACCCCACCGGGGCCTGGGTGGACCTGGGCAGCGGCCCTCTGCCCGCCGGGGGATGGACAAAACCCTCCTCTCCTTGATTCTCTGCTGTCACAGGTACAGGCGGGGGTGTGGGTGGGAGGCTGCAGCACACGGGGCTGTGGAGGAGGCCAAAGTCTGCTGTGAGCAGCACCTGGGCAGGCAGACGGCTGAGTCCAGACGCCTGGCTGGCACTTGCTCCTCACGCCTCATCTCCCTGTCTCTCCAGCGGCTCCGGAAGCCTGGTTGGCATTGACAACAAGATCGAACAAGCTATGGTAAGAGAAACCATCTTGATCCCAGGAAGTGTCAGGTGCTGATGCCTAGACCCACCTGCTCCACCCATCCCCGTCCTCCCTGTCTTCCCAGTGGCTTCCCTTGGGCCCTGACCTGCTCCTGCTCCTGCCCCCACCCCCTGCCTTTGCGCCCTGACCTTGCTCCTGTCCAGTGTCCTTGCCCCATTCCCTGCCCTTCCCCCTTCCCTAGGGGTTGGGAGCAGGGGCTCTCATACCCTGGCCCTCAAGGCACCAGGCAAGGGATGAAGTCGGGTTGACCTGGGACCCCTGACACTTTGTCTATCCCTGGACCCCAGGACTTGGTGAAGTCCCACCTCATGTTTGCGGTCCGGGAGGAGGTGGAGGTGCTGAAGGAGCAGATCCGGGAACTGGCTGAGCGGAACGCTGCGCTGGAGCAGGAGAATGGACTGCTGCGTGCCCTGGCCAGTCCCGAGCAGCTGGCCCAGTTGCCCTCCTCGGGGGTCCCTCGGCTTGGGCCCCCTGCACCCAACGGGCCCTCTATCTGAGCCTCCCTTCCCTCACAATGTGCCTTTGGGGGCTGCCACAGCTGCCAGGCCTTGTTCCAGCTGCCGCCCCCCTCTTCCTATGCAGCTTTAATGCCCCCTGATTCCCGGGGATGGGAGTTGAAGGCTCAGAATTGACCTATCCCCTGACCCTCCCTGGATCTCCCCATAGTCTCCTGGGGCTGGGCTGGGGCACCCCCAGGCCACGATGGGAGAGGGAGAGCTTCAGGACCTGGTGTTAGAAGTCTCCCCTCCAGGAGGGATCCCAGCCACCCCTCCCTCCCTTGGTGTTCTGGGACCCCAGCATCAGATGTTTTGAGGGTGCTGGAGGCTCCCTAGCAGATACTCCATCCCCACCTCATTCCCTCACAGTGCCCCTCTCTCCTCAACCCAGGGGAGGGAATATGGACAGTATCTGGAAGTTCTGGGATTCAGGTTGTTATTAAAATAATAATTATAATTAAAAAATCTGAAGAAACTTGAATCTGGAGGTTGGCATCTCCTTGCTTATGCCGAGACCAGGAGCCTGCAGGCAATTTCCACTTGTGGGAGACCGTCTGTGAGCTCCCCTCTCTGTCTGGTCCAGAGGAGTTTGGTGTGGTGACCACTGAGTGGTCCAAAGAGATGGGGGTGGGGGGAGCCGCAGCTCTGGTCCCGGGAAGGGGCAATCCAGGCAAGGCAGAGGAGTAGCAGGGGGAGGGGGCCATCTGCCCACGTGCTGGGGGGGACAGGGAAACAATGAGGCCTTTGGTGATTGTGCCGGATCCACCCCCAGCTTCCCAGTGTGTCCCCTCTGCGGGCTGGATCCGGGTGGCTGCTTGGGGGTGGGGTGGGGGGCCCTGAATGGGCCCCTTGTCTCAGCGCTGGGTGTGGGCCAGGCTTCCCGGGCACACGGTGCCCTCGCCAGGCCTGGCCGCACTCCGTGGCTTCCACCCCCGGCTGGCCGGGGACTGAGCCGCGTGGGTGAGCAGGCTCCTCCCTGACAGCCTCGGCAGGCGTCCCAGGCGGAACAGGCAGGTAGGGGGAAGGACCCCATCTAGTGGGGAAAGGGAGAAGTGCCATCTGCCTCGCGAAGAGTTCTGGTAAGGGCAGAAAGGGCCTGGGACCGGCTCCATGTGGAGGCCCAACAAGCTGGGGCTCCCTGGCCAATGACTCCCCAGGTCTACGTGACCTCAGGCAGGTTCCTTGTTTTTTTTCTGAATCTTGGCTCCTCGTGGGTAAAACAGCACTGACAATAATACCTACCTTGAAGGGTTGCTGTGAGAATTCCATGGCAGGACACACACAGGAGAACAGGAAGTACCAGGTCCTCCCTCCTCCATGAATATTTTGTTTCCTTTTTCTGGATCTGGGGAAAGAAGGCAGAGGGTGCTGGGACTGGCTCTGGGGGTCTTTAAAGGGCCCTGCGGGTTGGTGCTGGGCTGGGCAGGTTCTCACAATGGGCTAGAACTCTCTCTCCCTCTGGGTTCTCATCCACTCCGACTCCTCTCCCTGTCCCAGGGAGGGGAGGAAAGGCCCAGGATGAATCTTTTGGGGGAGCTTTCCCCCTGGATTCCCTGTTTCTTTCTTCATTGCTGTGCTTGACGCTCCCTCAAGATCTCTTGGTGGCTACTGGCCTGAAGCTGCCCCCCTCCCCCCACCCTACCAAATGCTGATACGGTCCCCTCCTTGGGCCTGTGTGTTGTGTTTCTGGCGAAATGGCTGTGGTCATGAGGTTCTTCCGATGGATTTGGCGAAAATTTACTTGCTGGGTACGTTTCAGAGACTGTCCTTTATGACATACCAGGAGGGGAGGTGCTAGTCAGTGACCTCTAGGTCACAGAAAACAGCTCCCCCACCCTCCAACCCGGCCTCCTGTGGCCAAACAAGACTTGGAGGAAGAAGGGAGAAGACAGCTGTGGGGAGGATGTGAGGCTATCCTTTCCCCTGACTGCTGTATCCCTTCTGCCCCTTCCTCTGTCTCTTCTCTCTCCATTTTGGTTTGTAGGTTTCCTTCTGGAAACACAAAGCCAAGCCAGCTATTTCAGAAAGCCCTGACCCCAAGAAAACTGTACTGAAGGGAGTGGAGAAGACTCCCAAATTGGTTGAGACTTTCAAGTTGGTTGAGGCTCCAAAAGAAGCCAAATTCCTCACGATGGATGAATCCCCCACGGAAACGGATCCCTGCATGTTAGCCACGACAACAGATGGGGCTGGAGAAGAGCTGGACCAGGGGGGCCGATCCCTGCTGCAGCTGCCCCGATCAGCTGTCAAGTCCGTCTCCACACTCATGGTCTCAGTGCTACAGTCTGGCTGGCAAATGTGCAGCTGGAAGGTCAGTACTAGCTATATACCCCTTGTCTCCCACACCCTCCTCTCCTCCCTCCATTCACTTGTTTATTTCCTGAGCCTCTACTATGAGGTAGGCACTGAGGCAGGCAGGAGCCACAGCATTCGAGGTTTACCCAGAACTAAGAGGCCCCAGCCAAGATCATAGGCATTGTTCGTACAGTACCCTAGGGGGTGTGATGGGGGAGAAAGAGGAGGAACCTGGAGAAGGGTATTGCAGCAGGCTTGGGGAGTCAAGGCCTTCCCAATAGCAGAGAGGGTAAAGCTGAGCCCTGGAGGATTTAGCCTGACAAGGGTGGAGAAGGGGTGGGGGAAGAGTGTACCAGGAAGGCAGAGTAACAGGGGTAGGGATGGAGGAAAGCATATGGGTTGGACCCTGGGGCTGAGGGCGGGCTCCCCCAGTTCAGGTGACCCAGTTCAGGAGTTTGACTTTGGTGCTAAAAGCCATGGAAGCCCTTGCAAACATTTGAGCAGAGTTGACACAATCAGACTTTTGTCTAGAAAATTAACCTGCACTCATATGTTGTAGGTGGGAATGTAAAATGGTACAGGCATTCTGGAAAACAGTTTGAAAGTTTCTCATGAAGTTAAATATGCAGTTATCATGGGACCTAGCCATTGTACTCTTGAGCATTTATTCCAAATAAATGAAATTTTATGTTCACACAAAAATCTGTATGTTCACAATGATTTTTTTCATAGTAGCCAAAACCAACCCAAATGCTCCTTACTGGGTGTGTGGTTAAACTGTGATGGGTCCACATTGTGGAATACTTCTTAGCCACGTGTTGATATGTGCAGCCACTTGGATAAGTCTCATGCTGAGTGAAAACAACCCATCCCCAACATTACATACTGTCTGGTTCCATTTGTTTTATATACTGTCCTTGAGATAACATAATTAAATGAAGACCGGATGTAGTGGTTGCCAGGGAGAGGGGATTGGCTTTAAAGGGCGACAGGGGGAAATGATGGAAGAGTTCTGTACTTGGCTGTGGTAACTGGACCCATGAACCTGCACAAGTGATAAAAACTGGGTAGAATTCAACACACAGAACACATACACACAGGCATGCACAAGTGAAATGGGGAAATGTGGTTTAAGAGATTTGCTTTGGTGTCTTACTGTGGCCTTACTGTGATGTTATATCATAATTTTGCAAGACTTTATTATTAGGGGACTGATAAAGAATATACAGGCAATCTGTTATTTCTTACAACTGCATATAAGTCTATGATAATCTCAGTCAGAAATATTTTAAAGGGGAGTATCTAGAGCACTGCCAAACTGACATGTTTTGGTCTTGAATAAAGTATCCTGGCATTACTAATAATTCTGAAGTTCGGGAGTGAGTGGGGTCAGGAGACAAGGGGAGGGGCAGGAAGGTCCAGTGAAGGTGTCACCGCCCAGGATGTCCTTGACGGGGTAGAGGCATCAGGCAGAGCAAGTCAATGAACTGGAGTGATCTTTAAGAGATGGACTTGTGCCGGCTGACTGGATGAGGTCGGAGGGAAAAGAGGCAGTCAGAGCAGACTGGAGCCATTGACCGGGAGAATTAAGAGTAGATGCAGACTCTGGAGGAGGTGACAAGTGTGGGGCATTGGAACAAGACGAGATGTCTGTAGGACACCTGCACGGAGATGTCCAGGAGGCAGTGGGGTGAACCGGCCTGGAGGGGAGGGGCGAGCGCTGAGCTGGAGGTGGAGGTCAGAGTGTCAGTCTGTCTTCATGTTAACCTCCGTGAACTCCTGCGGGGACACAAAGGTGGGTCAGACTTGGCCCCTGCCTTCCAGGAGCTTGCATTCTAGTAACAAACTGGTCTGCGGGGCAAAGTGCGACATGAGGTGCCTGTCTACACATGTGTAGTAAACGCACAGAGACAGCCTGAGAAGGCCTTGGAGGCTGTGCCTGGTCGAGGCCTAGAGGAGGAGGTGGCATTAGACCAGCCTTTGCTGTTTATCAGGCGGTTCCACCAGTGGCTTCTCCCTCAACCAACTTGTTGACATGTGCCCATCTCTCTCCTTCTCTTTCTCTCATAGCCATCTGTGAGTTCTACCTCAGTTGCCTCCCAGATGAGAACCGGGTCCCCTTTGGAGTCTCCGGAGGCTGAGATGCTGCGGGAAGTGTACCTGGTGCTGTGGGCCATTCGGAAACAGCTGCGGCAGCTGGCCCGAAGGCAGGAGAGGCGTAGAAGGCGCCACATCCGGGCCCACACTTGTACCCAGCCTGACTCAGTTAAGACCCTGAAAGAGGATACCCGAAGTCCCCTCTAGGGGGGATCCCTGTATCCTCAGGAAGCCCCCACCTCACTCTTAGGTAAGGTTGATGTGAGAAGTTAGGGCAGCAGGCCAGGAGTTGTGAGTAAGGAGTTTTCATACTGTCACCTGCCATTGGGAACTCTAGGCCGGGCCTGGGGTTCCACACGTTCCCCTTCATTCCCTTTATTCAATTTGTAAAATATTATCAAAGTGTTGGGAAATAAATATCAGATATTTCGGAGTAAATGGAGCGTGTGTCTGTGGATGGCCAGAGGCAATGAGGGGAACCTGGATGGGACATCTGAGGTGCTACAGCAAATATTTGTGGGAGTAACCCTAACCCTGTTGGCTGGGGTGAGGAGGAGATGCGGGCTGGGAGAAGAGAGGGTGGGGTGGTCCTGGCCCTGGGCTGACTCACACTTGAGGGACTGAACTGCCCTGGGCTTAGCGCTGCTAGGCCAGTACCCACAGCAGCTGCGCCCTTGTGTTGAGGGCATGTCGTGGAGCCAGTGAAACCCTCAAGACAGAGCATTGCAGAGGTTGTGGGACTTTTCCGAGGTCCTGTAGCCAAGGAGACCTCGCTGGAAACTGCCTGCCCCCAGCCCTCTCCCTGCCCCACCTCCCTGGAATCCTTGGGCTGGGCATGGGGAGGGTCTGTGGCTATGAAATCTCGCTGGGTGGCAGATGCGGGTGCGGCTTGGCCGGAAAGGTGCTGAGGTCCTGTGGGCCACGCCCCTGCCCTGACAGGTGAACACTCCACCCACCACCTGGGGTTCCTGGCTGCAAAGCCTAAACTGAGTAGTGGCGCCTAGGCACTGTGAGCTGCGACTTGGGTGGGTGCCCCCCTGGACAAATGGCTTTGTGGCAGGCTGTGGCGTTCTTGGGGACTGGATGGGGTGAGCCGGTGGAGACTCAAGCGCGTCTCACACTTAAATTGACTTGCTGCGCCAAACAAAAGCACAGGAGGATTCACCAAGGACTAGTAGGAATATTTCACAAGATAACAAAATTCAAGGGTTCAGCGTTCAAGAGCTTGCAGGTGGTGTGGGGCAGGAAGAAAGGATGGCAGGAGGACCCAAGATTGGGGGACAGCAGAGATGGACGAGGTAGGAGAGGTGTGGACAGGGGAGAGCGACAATGGCTGCGGGGTGGGTGACGAGCAACAGGGATGGCTTGCTGGAAGAATCAACTCACTAGAAAGTCAGTAGGCTCCGCCCTCCCCCAAGATATGTCACATGTGTGTTACATGTAGATGCACATGTGCATAGTAGGATTCAATACATGAAGTGGCTTCATGAGGAATCGGTCATGACGTTAACCTAATATTAGAGATGGTTTTTAGGTATTTAGGCAGGGCCTCCACGCAGACATTTCTGGCACTTTCGATCAACCCCTACTCACCCCACTTCTTTAAGTGCCAGGACCTTTTCTAAGCCTGGAAGTTTAATGGGCCCGAGGGCCTTGGAGGACAGTCACGTGCTGCACACAGTAGGCTCGTGCCAGGAGGTTTGCACAGTGGAATCGCCTACCAACGCATTGCTCAGAACAAAGTAGTTTGCTGTTTTAAGATCCAGAATTAGCCCCGCTGTGTCCTTAGATAGGGGCTTCTCTTCTCATTGGGGACCTCAGGTTTCACTGATGAGAAAGGTAGGGTGAAGGCTGAGGGTCACTAGTAAATGATCCTGCAAGTAGCTACGTGCCTGGAGCCAATCAAGGCTTGAGGCTGTGGCTTGTGGAAAGGAATGTGTGTGTGTGTGTGTGTTTTCTGGGAGCAAGGAAAGGAAGGTGAATTCAGCCAGCAGCCAGGGGAGTTGCTGGCATCTTTCACCCTCTGTCCCTCCCCAGACACGATGGAATCCTGCCTGGGCTTGGCCAAGCAGGGCCCGGAGAGTGTGGGAGAGAGAGGAGAGAGATGGAAGGAGAGGTACATAGAAGTTGCTTTTCCTAAATGTCTCCTGGGGATTTCCTTCCTCCCCATCATAAGTAATTCAGCCAAGATCCCGGGAGAAGGTGAAATCAGAGAAGGAACTTCCCAACTGGGAGCAAACCTGTGGGAGTTCCTGGGGTGGAGATTTTGGGGGAGGGACTCTTACCCATCCCAGCCATCTCCTGGTAAAGAACACGTGGAGATAGAGTGGCCCTGGGGAAATCTACCTCCTGATGATAGTTTGGAGCAAAAATCCCAACTGGAACACCTCCCCTCCGGTCCCCATGAGATCCCAGGCATTTCTCCCCCAAAGCTGCTTGACTCCATCAGCCAAAGTGGTAGGATCTTGGGTGGTTCCGGCTGAGACCAGGTTTCCTTCTTTATTTTCAAATGCCACGATCTTATGGGGAGGAGGCGAGACTGTGGGGAGCAAAATGAGAGTGCTGGCCCCAGATACCCTTGCCCTGTGTTCCCTCTTCGACCAACAGCATCATATTTCCTGAAAATTTCAAAGCTTTTATTCTCTGGAACCTCCCTGTAATCTACTCACCACACAACAAAACAGGTCACTCCCCTGCTTTAATCCTCCAAAGAGTTTCCATTGTCCTTGGGAAAAAATTCCAACTGTTCCTGTTGTCAAAAATGTCCTTGTCTCAGATCTTGGCATGGCGGGCTCATTGCCAGTCTGGACTCTGTACAAATGTCACTATTTCTTCACAGACTCTTTCCCTGATCATCCTATGTACAGATCAAGAGATTTTCCTCTGTCCCCATGCTTTATGTCTTTATAGTACTTAACAGTATTTGAAGTATTATCTCTTGGTTCCCAGCAGACTTGGGAGGCCGCAGGAAATGTGGTAGTGGTTTGAACTGATGTGTTTAACTTTGGGTCAATTGGTAAATTGCTCCAAGCCTCAGTTTCTTAATCTGTAAAGTGGGAATCATAGTAGTAGCTGTACCATAGGGTTGTCATGAGGATTGTGAAGATGACCCATCTTCATCACCACAGGAAGGACTCAGTACATGTTAGCTAGCGTTATGATTGTTATTCCCATGGCAGAAAAACAGTGCTTAGTGAAACAAAAAGTAATCCTTTGCTTAATGTGTGGGAAGCACACTCCAACCTGCTGTCTCGTGGAGAGCCTGCAATTTGGGAAGTGACAAAGAAAGCCCAATGCAGGGAGCCATGGGAAGAGGTCTTGATAGAGAATCAAAAGACAAGCTGGTCCTGATGTCTCTATTGATAACATTCTGTAGCAGGACTTGGTGAGCCACTTTCACTGGACCGCAGGATCTGCAAGTAGGTGATGGGTTCAACCAGTGATTGTGCTGTGCCCTGCCAGCCTCTAGAGTTTTCTCTTTGGCCTCTGCTCCCTCTACTGCATGGTCTGGGGTAGGGACACATGGTCTCTCTGCCTTCTAAGTGCTGCTTCCTAACAGCCAAAGCTGCCAGGAAGAAATTTGATCTGGGTGAGATGTTCTTGGTTTAAGCCTTTGAACCAGAGACAAAGTCCCAGCCGTGGACACCAGATCTTTTTTCTATCCATATCCATCTCTTCCCCCTTCACACTCATCCAGTTTGGTATTTGAACCCATTTATAGCATTAGCCACCTCCCTTTCAACTACTAACCTCCCTTACCGCTGGCAACTACTAACCTGTTCTCCCTCTCTGTAATTGTGTCATTTCAAGAATGTTATATAAATGGAATCATGTAGCATGTAGCTTCTTGGGATCTTTTTTTTTTTTCACTAACATAATCCCCTTGAAATCCAAGTTGTCGTAAGTATCAATAGTATGTTCCTTTTTATTGGTGAGTGGTTTCCATGGTTTGGATGTACCACTCACTGTTTGTTTAACCAGTCACCCATTAAAGATTTCTTTTTCCAGTTTGGGCTCTTACAAAGGAAGCTTCTACAAATATTTGTGTGCAGATTTTTGTGTCAACAAAAGTTTTATTGCACGCACAAGAGTACAAATGCTGGATTACCTGGTACACGTAGTTGTTTTTTTTTTTTTAAAAGATTTATTTATTTATGGATACAGAACTGGAGTATAGGCCAGAGGTGCAAGGACAGTGAGAGGATTCACCAGAGACAGAGTGGGGAGCAGAACAGGCAGATGGATGAAGTACACTGCAGGGGGGAGCAGCGGGCGGGTCAGGAGAGGTCTGCCGCGCCATGTGGGTCACCTCTGGGGCAGGTGGGGATTGAACTCATGCTTTAGCTTTAGCTTCTTAGTGCTGTGCTTTAACCTGCTGCGCCACCAGGGCGGGCCGGTACATGTAGTTTTATAAGAAACTGCCACGCTCATTTCCACAGCTGCTGTACCATTCCACATTCCTACCAGTAATGTAGGGGGGACTCATTCACCCTGCAGCCTCACCAGCACTTGGTGTTACCATTGTTTTTTTTATTGTAGACATTCTGATAGATGTGTAGTGATAATTCACTCTGATTTTAATTTGCATTTCCTTAGTGGCTAAAGCTGTTGAACATTTTTTCATGTATGTTCAACTAAATGCCATCAACATATCCTTTTTATCAAAATTCTGTTCTGATGTTTTGCCCATTTTCTAACTAGATTGTTTATTATTGTGTTGCTTTTAATTTCAAAGAGGTTTTGGAAAACTATTCCAGATCTAGAGAAAAGCTGTTCCTGTATATTTGTCTTCTGTTGCTTGTGTGGTTTGCCTATGTATTCTCCTAATCGATAGCTGTTATTTCATCATCTTAGCAGACTCTTTCAGAGAATAAAAAATTTTAATTTTGAGGCGGTCCTCTTTATCAACTTTTCTTTTATGGTTTATGACTTTGGTGTCCAGTCTAGAAATTCTTCCCTTAGCTCTAGATCCTTAAGATTTTCTCTGTGTTTCTTTTCCATGTTTTTAATGTTTTATGCTTTACATTTAAGTCTGATCCATTTTGCGTTCATAATTGTGAAAGGGTGTGGAAGGGTGAAATCCAAACTCCTTACGTCAGCTTCTGGCTGTGGTCCCAGCCCACCTGCCTGGCTTCATCTCTCTAGATTTCTCTTCACTGTCACGTCCACTGGGCTTAGTTAAGTAGACTTCTCTCCCCCAAGAGGTTTTGCAAATGCTGAAACTTCTGTTTTGAAAGTTGTCTCCCCACATTCTTCACCTGGTTTGCTTCCATTCCTCCTTCATATCTGCCCTTTACCCTGGAGAGGCCTTCCCTGAAACCCTGTCCTCCTGCCCCCGGGACTCCGTTCTTTGCTGTTTCCTGGGGCTTGTGCAGCACAGTTCCTGGCATGCAGCAGGTGCTCAGTGGATGTTTGGGAGAGGAGAGGGTGACTCAGTGGATATGCACTGCTGGGTCCTGGCCTGCATACTACATGTTCACTGTGGGCTTTAGGATTCGCATT